CTAGGATGGCCCTACTACATCTTAGAAAAATTGACTATTTTATACGCAATGTTTAACTTTATTGGATTTCTTTTCTCACTTTTAAAAGGAATCTACAACACATGTGCTATACACACACAAGTAAACAGACAAGCAAGTGTAGCACGCATACTATTTGCAGGATTTTTTGGAATCTTTTCTACATCTATAAACAAAATTCTTTTAGACGCACAAATAAAAGAATATAACACAAAAATAGCAACACGACAAAATACATACGACGAAGAACATAACAATGTAGACATAACGCCAACGGCACCACAATTACCACCCCTACCAAATAACCATCCACTATCCCTAGTCCCACGAAATTTTCGAAATTTAGCCATCACACATAATCCAAATTTTCGACTCACCACATCACAAAGTCCCATTCAACATATAATGACACACCAGTCACAAGATGATAATACTTATGAACAAATTATTGAACAACCCCATACCACCGCTTTTCAGTCTCAAAATAATCATTTTTTTAGCCCACGATGAGCCGCCAACTTGGATCACTACACCGATCGAATTCCCACCCAACCAATCTTACCTCCCCAATCCCAATAATACCACTTTTCGCTTTTCCGCCACCCGATTTTCCATCTAGTAATGTAACATCAGGCATGAATTCCGACACTAATTCACACATCTCAGTTTTATATTCCATCTCACAACTCAATAACCCGAATATTGAAACCCCCGATGAATTTGCCGACTCAGAACCATCCCCATCCAATAATTTTCATAACTCTTCTAAATTTTCTCAACCCCCTTTTCAACCCATATTATCCAATGACCCTGACCCAATCACTCCCACACCCTCTTATGCTTCCCAAGTTACCCCAACCTACTCCTCCTACCATTCTGACCAATCATCTCATTCTCCAGACACCCCCCGAATCTCCCCAGAGCTAGATAATTTTATTACCCTCCAACAACAACCCTACCACCTTAATACCCCAACCGTAAACCAAATCTCCTCCACTATAAATTCATCCAATCCCCCTACACCCTCTTCAAATTATACAATCATTAGCACCATCATCCACATCAACTGAATCTTCACTCAACACTAATAGAGCTTACCGCACTTTTAAAAGAAAGTTCCCCAACCATCCTTTCCCAGCAAAACCAGGAACAGCCCGTGAATACATCAACCATCCCAAGCATACTAACACAAAAGAATTTTTAGCCATCACCTTACCCTCATTTCCACAATACACCTTAAACACCCCCCACGACACTAACGAAACACGCAACTTTGTAGATGAATACGTTTTAATGCCCACTCTCTCTTGGACCTCATATTATCATTTTACTAACCCTCTTTGCTTACCTTTATCTAACACTCACATCGATATAGAGCGAAATACGGACATGCTATATCGACTCACTACACCACTAACCGCTAGACAATTTACTTACGTTGGATATAAAAAATCACTAAAAACACACACTGCACCTAGAGCTAACGAATATACACTCGAATACTATGATCACAACATCATCAGAGCTAACCAAGATCAATTCTTAGACGACGATCGCTTCGCTAATCCACAAATTACCGAAAAATTTTTCATCAAGACACCATATATATTTACACTAAACATCTTCGACCGCAAGTTTGATCACATTATTTCAGAAGCACTAACAGACACACAAGCATACGAAAGTTTTAAAGAACGCTTCCAAATATTTTCACTAACCTTTCATTTCCTTGCACCACACGAAAGAGATTTACACTGCTCACACGATATTATGTTGCGCACTAAACAAACCCACACATATAGTTATTACCGCTTCATCCAAAATCACTTTGACCTACACAAACCCTCTAGACAACCACACCATCGCTTTCAATTCATTAATTCCAAATACACTTCACCATTTTTCCTAAATTTCACATATTGCATTAAAGATACTAACCTTCATGGTATTCTTCGCAATTATGATCCCATAACCCAAATGTACATCTTCTGTCCCATCACCAAGACCTTCAACGCCGAAGAATCCCGACCCTTCCTTATCCCGCACGAGTTTGTACAACCTATAGAAATCCCAATTTTAGAATTCATCCACAACACTAAATTCAATCACAAATTATATAATCTAATCCAAAACACACCTTATGAGTTTGCAGTTGGCACTGAAGAACTAACCACTATCAAGGCACTCCAATTGCTTTGGCCACTGCTTCAGACTAAAAATATCATCCGCATCTTAGCTAAACTACTAACAACTTCCGATCTCATCCACGACATCTTCCCCCACGGTTTTTTCCCCGACGACTAACAGGTAAGTATGAATTAAATGAATATTACTAACTAATTAAAATATTAAAAACTCACCATTCTTTATCCATGTTTTCTTTAGATTTTTAGTCTTCATCCGACGATCACCTACAAAAACCACAAAAAACAAATAAAGATCGCAAATTTCATCAAACAGATTTCAACAATTCTATTAATCTCTTACACTTATAAATTTATAAATTTAATACCAATGCAGTAAATTCATTTCTAAAATTTTCCCCACAAGCAGTAAATCTAATTATGATGAAAATTTGTAACTTAAAATTCCCCCATAACTAGCAGTAAATTTCCAAATTCTATGCAGTAAATTAATAAAATGCAAATGCAGTACTAACCTTTTGATATTTTCATTCATTCGCACAGAAATTCTATCCACACTCGCACAGCTCGCCCACGAAGAATTGTTTAAAATAATGAATTTCAGTTTCAAGTTTTCACACTCAACAACTCTAACATATAATAACATGTTTCAAACCTTCCTTTAACCCGGTTGGAAAGGAATCATATACTAAACAAAACTAACCAACGCAGCTTACTAAATACCACAAATCATAGAATAACAGCATGACTAAGAAAAGGAAACCAACGGTACCCAAACCGGATTAACCCAGTTTAAAACTGGATAATTTATTCTTTTGAAGACTATTATAAAGTCTAAGAAAGAAATAATAAAACACAAAAAAGTCGAAAGACAAACCCATACCACAAACAATTTGATTTTTGGAAAAAGGACATAACCAACAAGACATAAGAAAAACCACAACAAACCCAACATAAAACGTTGTCACATAACAGGACCCCTCACAAAAACCGCATGAAATCATACTCCCACTCCTGGCCTAACCCACCAGGAAGGACGTCCTGAGCATGCTCTATAGCCGGCCTAACCCACCGTGCTACATCCACGCTTTGTGACCACACCTCTATTTTTAATAAGAGCTACTCAAGTGTGAGTAACTCTTCAAAATAACCGAACTGAAACAAAAAGCTTTTGTGAAAACAACTAACAAAAATCATAATTAAAAAATATTAAACTAATAAATGTTTTATAAAATGTAAATTACATTATGTAATACATAGATCAGAATACAACACCAAGGACGAACATCTAAAGACAAAACGACCCCACTACACTCGAGAGAGAATGACCAACCACAATCGATATGCCACTCACAATCACAACTCAAAGGATTTAGAGTACGACTTGACTTCGCAGAAAAGGACTTCATTGAACTAGACCAATGACCACCTCGATGTTCAAGTATACGTACAGATCCGAGTAACCAGGCATCCCCTCCACGCACAATCTCCACGCCATTCCCAAACTAGATCAGACACAAAAGAAGTTCTCCACACAGAACAGAAAAACCTGACATAGCAAACCATTCTGAAATCAGATTTGAATTTGTTGCAAAGACTTAGTCGTTGTCACTAGAAGACACAACGTCTTATGTCATCTAACTCCAGCTTCCTGGAACTTCTTTAACAAAAAGGAAACAAAAGAAATATGATGTTCGCCAAACACCAACGTCCATCATCCATCCTTCGAATTGCAGAAGAACCATTCTAAAAAACTCTGTAAAACCCGGATGGGTGGAACCTGATCTAAACTACATTTTATGATTGGATAATTTAGATATTTTACCAATGTAAAGTATTTAATATTAACCAATCATGATCCATCAAACTAACAACCCACTTATTTGTAAGTGCTGAAGTTACTTGTAATTTCAGCACCAGAGAGATTTGAATTTAACTTAGAAATTAGTTGGACTCTCCCGAGCACTTCAGCAGCCGCAATAAACCAGTATACCCTAGATCTATTGAGCCTAGCAGAGACTAGTTAAACAACCTGAGACTAGATAGTATAAGAGTAAGATTAGGATCGGTATTAGACTAAGAAGTTGCACGAATCTATCCGGCCGAAAATAAGATAGCGTGACGAGCAGACGGTGTACCCTATCCGAAATTACTCTATGAGTTAACCAACTCGGTCCTAACTCAGAACTTGAAAACACATCTTTGATCCAAAGGGTATCTGCTCAAGAATTGTTTCCGTTGTTGCGGCTTCATTGGTTTTTTATGCTAATTTACCAATCAAGTGTCTTCCTTGGCATGCTTTTCTTAGAATGAACTTTATTCAAGACAAAAAAAGACAAATATGTAGAAAATTTTGGTACATTTGTTTTGTTTGCCATTTTTTTCGGATTTCGTCTTATTTTCTGTCGGTTAATTTGGCATGCTATTTTTATTCTGTCGCTACGCTGTAATGCTTCGCTTCTGTGAGTTAATGTATCAACCATGAAAGTAGCTATAAAAGTTGAACAACGAGATAAATATTTAATCTTTTGATCCTGTTAATTTCATCAAAAAAGTGTCAATCATAAATTTTGTTTCAAAATTCTGAGAGCTTTAAGGCTGTCTATTATTTTAAATTCGAAAATTGAAGTTTTTTCAAAAACAAGACAGTATCTATTTGTGCTTCCTTGCATTCATGGACACGTTTCCAACTGTCCTTTCGTTGGTTATGTTCTTTGAAATGAAAGGAAGTAGGACTGAATAGTTTATTAATTTCTTCTATCGCTGTTATTTTTTGATGACTTCGTGGTTGATCTATGTTACGCTGTAATGGTGTTATGTTTGTGTGTGTGTTTGTAGTTGGTGGACTGGATGTAACGAGCAGTGTGTTCGGACTGTTTCCCCGTCCTTACGGCAGAAGTGCGAAGAGCACACTTATGAGCAAAGTGAGGGCCAGGTTCCGGTTGCTGGGCAAGCTGCTGGCCAGGGCCTTGATGGACAACCGCACTCTGGACCTGTCTCTGGGAGAGCCATTCTACAAGTGGCTCCTCCTCGGCCAACAGTGCTGCCTGAATGCAGACGATCTGCGTCTGGTCGATCCGGATCTGCACCGCATATTCTGTCGATTTCAACAGCTGGTGGAGCGCAAGAAACAGCTGGAAGCAGACACTTCTCTCGTTAGTAGAAAGAGAAACACACATTCAGTAGTTGATTGAGCATATATTTTTTAGTTCAAAAAAGCAAAGAACTGGTTCGCAAAGTTATTTTAATTGGTGGTCAATCAACCGTACAAGATCAAATCACAATGGACTGTGAAAAATGCGGATTCAATATCTTTAATTCACTGAACTTAAATTGACTCGTTTATTCTTTTAACGGTTAACCACAGTGAATCCAAACATCGCAGACTAAACTTAAGGTTGACAGGTATTAATTAATTAGTAGCCGCACCAGACACATAGCTAACCAATGGCGCCAACACGTAATATATGATTAGATACTATATATGACATTCCCTCAACAATCAATTTTCAAACAACTGTTTTAAAATTATCCAACGGAAATGTTTGAGTTTTAGACCAGCGATAGTCCACCCTCTCCCTGGGCATGAGTTTTAGTTTAACAAGTTTCTTGAGTTTCCTTTTTCACTCCCTCTTTCAAATGTGCCTTCCTGCTCAATTAGTGTCCCGCTCTCTGTCTTCCTCTCCTTTGGATGTTCTCGCTTTCAATATACTATCTATCATAACTCCGCCGAATTTAGATACCGCCGTCCGCTTCCTGGTACTTTTCCGTGATCCTGTTCCATCTTCTGATTCTTGACTCGAGTATGATACGAGACGTAAGCGTCGTACTCGTTCCCCTTTCTTTTTAGGATGTTTCCCCCCTCGTCCTTCGTTACTCAAATTTGGGGCACTCCCCCCTTGCTCGTTGCTCATAGTCTGGACCTCCGTGTCCACCCCCTGGGATTTTCCAGCTCCGCTTCCTTCGGATAAGTTTGGTCTTCCAATTCCGTCTTCTACATCGTTTGGTTCATTTCCTTCCACATCTCGCCCTGGTGCTATTGTTGAGTTCCCTGCGTGTTTGGAAATTGTTATTGGCTCGTACTCCGAGTCCGAATCGTCCTCCTCCGCTGGTGAAAATTCTCGCACTCTGTTATCAGCCGTACTCTGTGCGCTTGCTTTACTCTGTGTGCTCGTCCCCGCCGCCTGTTCGTTCGCTGCTCGCTTTAGTTCCGCCCGACGTTGCAATGCACTCATAGCTGGGAGTGGTAGTGTTAGCTTACTCGCGGTAGTTGGCGCGTTCGATTTGATGGCTTTCTCGGCAACCCCACTTTTCCTAAGTACAGAGCCATTTGCTAGAGTTATAGTGTGCTTAGATTCGCGAATTACTTTTTGGTTTATGGGTCTATACCTTTTATTGCTATCCTTGAGTCGTTGGAACAACAGTTCGGTCCGTTTACTTGGCTGTTTAGACTTTCCCCCACAAGCCTGTTTCCCGTCCCCGTCAGCCATTGGTGTTCCATCCGCCGCCGAAACTAGTTGATTTTGCGTCAGTCGCCTAGGGTGATTCATATGATCGACATCAAACTCCACGTCGGATCGTTCTTCCCAATCCGTTGCCATGGGTTGGATGTTCCTCGGAGCTCTGGGGTCAGTAGAATCTAAATAGGCAGATTTTTGTTTCAACACTCTGGCCCAGTTTAGGTTTTGCAGGGTTGGCTTTTTCGTAAGATTTCGCAGTACCGTATTGGCTTCTCTGCCGTGATGAGCCTCAAACGGCGATATTTTGAGAGTAGCATTTGGGGCAAATCTTAGAGCACTCAAGGCTCGTTCTATCATTGATTCTAAGTTTCCACTATCTTTTTCTTTAGCGTAAGTTAAGACAAAGTTTTTCAGACTGCCAATGGTACGTTCGACACACCCGGTGGCGCGATGATCATTCACGGGTGAATAAATTATTTCAATTCCTTCGGAATTGCAAAATGATTTAACTGCATTCGATGTGAAACTTGTACCTTGATCCATAAAAATTTTCCTAGGAACACCATGTTGAGATATGTATTGTTTAATGAACTTAAGGACCTTGTCGCTTTTATTATTTCCGCAGATCATTGCAGAGGGCCAACGTGAGAATCGGTCAACCGCTACCAAGACATATTTACTTGATTCATTTAAATATCTAATTGGACCCCAAAAATCAAGCTGTAGGCATTCGTTCGGCTCGCGTGGTTCATAGATCTTCCCAACATCACCTTTGGCGCATAATGGTTTAAGGCTTTTACCTGCATCGGTGCATTCCTTGCATCCATCCGCAGCTGCGACTAAACTCCGGTGGAGATAGGGAAACCAGACATCCCTCGCAGCGTCGAACATACTCGAGCGCCCATGGTGAAACGCATGTATCCGATTAACCACAGCCTTCCTGAGTGGTATGGGGATGACGAGTCGTTCGTCCATCCACAGACAATTTTCCCGCACGTGGAAATCATGTGTGTGCTGTCCGAGGTAGGCACCCATTGCTCTGACCTTCTTTTCCAAATCCGGGTCCTTACTCTCCACCAGTTCTTTTATTGCGCGCATCTGGGGGTCCCCTTTATAGTTCGCTTCCACGAGCTTCAGGTTGAATAACTCCGGCAGTGCACTGCTTTTGCGGACTATCTTGCAGTCCCGGGGGATTACTGACATGATGACGTTCCCTCCTGCTGGGTATGCCGCCGGAAAAATTTCACCTCCGAATGCCGAAGGAATGGAGATGACTGTGTTGCATCGAATGTCCCTGGTGTGATGCGTCTCCGCCTCCAATCGTGCATCCACAATCTCCACCTCGCTGCTACTGCCGCTCGTTATTTCTGGATGTTTCAACAGTAATTTATTTAATTTCTTCAAATTAAGTGATGTCATTGTAGATATGTGTATTTTGTTAGATCGATAACTTGTTTTGTTAAATAGAGGACTACTGTTTACTGTGGAATTAATATCAGACTCACGTAGTTTACATTCGGTGATTGACTTTACTACTTTTGCGCTTTCCCGGTCATTACACTCAGCTATTCGTTTTAGTGGCTTCTGATTGGTCAACCGATGGTCACGCGTTTTGACGCCCTCTTCCGGTGGAATGTTAACTTTATCGTTTCCAACTTGAGTATCTTTAGCTGAAACAATTGATTCCTTTGATGCTTTGATGATCCCTTTATTGGTATCAATATATCCGAGTGAATTGGTAATTGATTTCAATTTTGCCACTGTGAAAGTGTTATCATAAAGACTAACTTTCGTGGCTTCCCCCACCGGATGCCTTGAAAGGTAATCCGCCAGGCCAATTTTAGCCCCAGGCATGTGTTCAATGACAAAATCAAAGGGGATAATTCTATCAATCCAGCGAGTTAATCGACTGAACATAGTCTTGTTTCTCTTATTGTTCCCATTCAATAAAGATAGCAAAGCCTTATGATCTGTCACCACAGTAAATTTCCGCCCGAAAATATAATTTCTGAAGTATTCGGAGCCCCAAACTACGGCCAGCATTTCTAGCTCATTCGTCGAATATTTCTTTTCGGCCGCATTTAAAAACCGGGACGCAAATGATATTGGTCGCCAACCCTCGGTGCCTAGTTGTTCAAGTACCGCCCCCAAACCGTTATGGCTTGCGTCGCACACGATACGTATGTCCTTATGTACATCGAAGTGCTTAAGTTCGACAATGTTCGCTACTTGTTTCTTAATCGATTCGAACGCTGTTTGGCAGTCAATTGTCCAGAGGAATTCGTTCTTCTTACTTAGAAGTGGACGTAGAGGCGCCGAAGTTTCCGCTAACGCCGGTAAATATTTGTGAAGACTATGGATTGACCCCATGAACGATTTCAACTGAGAGAGCGTTTTCGGGGCGGTTAATTTGTCAATTGGATCTGTTTTCCGCACCATTGGTGTAATCCCTGATTTCGTAATCCGGTGGCCTAACCACTCGCAAGTATTATTCGCAAATTGACATTTTTCTAGCTTCAAAGCCATATTTTCTTTATCGAGTTTCATTAAAATCTTCTCCACTAAAGCGATATGTTCGATCTTGGTACCTTTCGAAATTACTAATATATCATCAATGAACGCATGCGCGCACGGAAATTCAGCCAGAATGGCATCCATGACCCGTTGAAATTCCGCCGGCATGGTTGTCAATCCGTAGAATCCTGTTTTGAATCGATATGTACCGGTAGAACGGCCTCCCACCAATGAAAAATTGCAATGTTTACTAGTGTTTTCGTTTAAAGGAAGTTGACCGTATGCGTACGTGAGGTCCATCGTTGTAAAAAAAACATCCCCCTGTTTGCGTTCGCTGATAGTTTGCCCTACGATGTCCATTAGTTCTTCAATATTGGGCATTTGGTATTTATTCTTATGCACTTGTTTGTTTAGTTCTCTAGATTCCAGTGCAAGTTTAACAGAACCGTCCTTTTTCACGGTGATGACAATAGGTGAAACAAAATATTTGTCTGAACATTCTTCCAACTTTTGGATATGACCCTGTCCCAACAGTTTTTCAATCTCCTTATCGACTTTTTCCTGTAATGTTATAGGTACTCGCCTACCTTTTTGTTGAATTGGAGTTAGGTTTTTGAAGAAATCTGCCTGCACCTTATAATTTCGAATGCGTCCTACCCTGTGAAAAAGATGTTGAAATTGCTTACAGAAATGTGTCTGCCACTAATCCAGGTCATTGTCCATCGCCACAGTTCCTTCCGTGGTATGTATGCTTTTCACCCCTTCTGTCGATGGTGCTTGTACCAGCATCAGTCCTAGTGAGGGCATTAAATCCCTGCCAATAATAGACGGTCGGCACCCTCCGATGACGTTTATATCCGACGAACAAGTCCATCCATTGGAATGAAGCGTGACTTGCATCTTGCCCAGAAATTTTAACGGATTGTTTCCGTAATCGCGGAATTGGTCGTCTTGTGGATTCAGCGGTTTCAATTGTACGTTGACTGTCCCCAGGGTACGTTTTAGTTCCCCAATAGTGAAGATGGATATTGGCGAACCACTGTCAATCCAGGCCTGAGTTGCTTTGCCGTTGATTCTTAAGGCTAGTTTGGCCCCCGCGACTTTTAGTTCAGTTTCCTCCTTCCGCCGAATTGACATAACCACATACTCCGTCGAACTATCCGAATCCCATCCATGTGCCGGTTTCTTTGAATCAGTCACCCATCCGACAGAACTTCCGTAATTGGATGCACTCTCCTCCGGATAATCTTGGGTAGTCCCGCCATTGGTGTCATCCTCATTTATCATGCCTACGCGACCCCTATTCGCCGATCGACGTCCTCTACAAGTTCGCTCATAGTGTCCCATTTTCTTGCAAAAGTTGCAGGTTACATTTCTTGCTGGGCACTTTGGAATGTGGTCCGGGGTAAAACCACTCTGGTCGCAATTGTAGCACTTGCGATCTGCTGCTCCTCCGCGGCCCCTTGTGCCGCCCCTGCCAAATCCACGTCCGCCTCTTTGGAATGGACGACGGTACCCTCCTCTAATTGCGCTTATAGGCTCCGCTTTAATTTGTAGTGAACCCGCTGGTGCCGCAGTAAGTCCCCCACCGGATACTTTATACGACTTTGCGTATTTGTCCCCCCGTTCATATGACAAAGCAATCCGGTAGACCTCATCTGGTGTCTTAGTTGAACGGCATAGCTCCGTTTGAGCTTCCTTGTTGGACATATTTACTATGAATACATCACGTAACACCCGTCGTTCCAATGTTCCCAGTGAGCATCTAGCGGCTAGTCCACTCAAAACGGAGTGAAATTCTTCTGGCGTTTCCCCGTCACGTTGTTTCCGAGATAGTAGCTGGTACGTCTCGAATGTTTCGTTTCTTTCCTTGCGGAAAACACTCTCAAATTCATCCAAAACCCGTGGATATCGGGTAGTCGCCAGGTCCAGATGGGGCTTCCGGTTATGTAATTCGTCCTGTCCACGTTCCCCCAAACACAAATAGAGGTTAGAAATCAGTGTCTGCTCTGCTTCCACTCGATTTTTCCCATTCACCTCCTCTGGCAGACCGGTAATTTGCGCCTCAGTGAGCGTATTAGCAAAATAAAATGCCGTCGAAAGAATATGCAACTTACTGCCCAAGCCAATGCTCGATAAGTTTGGAGACAAGAGCTACGTCCATTTTTTTGTTATAGCTCGTGTGGTCTTTCGCTTGATTTTAATATGGAACAGGTACACGAAAATGAAATGATTTTGGGCTCTTTTTCCTTTTCCCCCCACCTGCAAATTTTTCTATTTGAAATTACTGTTCACTTTGTCCGATTGTCATGAAAATTAACATGCAGACTAATTAGGCCATAACAAACATATTTGGTCTTCATAATTAACCTTGTAAAACCACTCGTTAGACCATAAAACTCATGTTTGAGTGAGGTGGGGGGAAAAGGAAAAAGAGCCTGATTTTGACTCAAGTAGGTCGTGATTTCAAGTTTTTTCAGAAAAAAAATCAAATATTGTTCTTTTTATGTTCAGTTATTTTCCTTTGTAACTGTTTTAAAATTGTACGAAGTTTTGAAGTTACTTTATTAGTGAACATAAGCAACTTCACGAAAAGTTTGCACTTGGTGAGATAACGTAGTTGCCTTTGTACCTTAAGGTCAGGGGTTCGAGTCCCAGACAGATCTTCTTTTTTTTTCAGTCTTTATGAATTTGAAATTTTTCCGGGACTGTTTGTCTGCTATGTTTTGTCGGCTTAGTTGCCCTATCGAGGATTTTTTTGATGACAGCATTTTGATCGTAGATGCAAATGTTTTAAAGTTTACTCTTTTAATTTGTAAATTTAATATATTTCCTTGGTTTTCCTTTCGTTTTTTTGCCTAAAAACTTCGTCCGGCCTAAATTGTTTTGTCGGCTTAGTTATCTTATTCTAGGTCATTTCAAGAGTAAAACATTAAGGTAGTTTTTGTTGCAAGATTTTAAAATTTTAAGAATTAATTGTTCGAATATTTCCTTAATTAATCGAAGTTGTTTGTTCGACTGTTTTTCTGAAATTTTCTTTTCCAAAAAATATATTTTTTCGATTTTGTTATTTCTGTTTCATTACGATTTGCTAGCTTGGAATGCTGCACTTGCGGTGTATCGCAACTAATGCGAAGCTCTGGTTGGCCTTAAAGAGACCAGCGTTTTTTTTTGTTTTTCATTAAGTGGTTTTCTGAATTTAGTTTATTTTGAAGTTACAATTTTAAGTAAATTTTTGGAAAAGATGACATTTTACAATAAAAATTGTTTTTTTTTTCCATTGAAATGTTCTTCCCTGAGCTAATTCGTTGAAGAATGATTTAAAAGTGTTCGGGGTTAAAAGTATTTGCCTTCAAACGTAAGTATTTAACAAATAAAACAAAAAATAGGTTTCGGATTTTTTCTATTTTCAATTTACAAATGATTTCATTACTTGTTTTCTGAACATTTTAACACAGTTCAGTCAGGGTTAAAATTTTAATTGGTGACAGACCAAAATTTTTGTCTGCATAGTTTTTTAAATATTTGTTTATCTGCTTTAAAAAAATTTCGCTAAAACCTGCTAGATTTTGTCTATATGACTATTGAGCTCATGATCCTTTTTGCAATTGTCAGTTGGCTATGTTTCTCAAGGTTTTCATGTTTTGTTCGAAAACTTTTGATCTTCCGATAACCAGTTGAGTATTTTGTGTCCAAGGGTTAATGAACGAATTGGTTTTTCATTTATACAAATAATGTTGATTTTTTGTTTTCTCGAGGAAAAAGACTTAAAATTTGATCACGCTCAGTTTTCATTTTAGATTTTGTTTCAAGTTCAAAATTCAAATGCGGAAAGTATTCTGTTGGTTTGTGTGTAGAATGCATCCAGTCTGCAGCTGGCACTGGAGAGCCTCACTCTGGACAATTCTTCGATCGAGAGTCTGGACCTGAGGTTCGAGCTGCCTGGTTACGACGTGGAGATGCGGAAAGGGGGCAGTGACATGCCAGTGACTATCCACAACCTGGAACAGTATCTGGAGCTGCTGCTGCACTGGACTCTTCGGGAGGGAGTGGGGAAACAGATGGAGGCAGTCAGGGAGGGCTTCAATTCAGTCTGTCCCCTCCACCACCTGTCCAGTCTCTTCTTCCCCCACCAGTTGGACCAGCTGTTCTGTGGGGGCGTCGAACAGGACTCCGCCCACTGGACCCCTCAGAACATAGCAGACTGTGCCAAGTTCGACCATGGATACACGCGACACAGGTGAGTATGAGTGTGCATGATCGCCACTGTATGCTGTCTTTACACAAGCGCAGCGAAGTGTATTATTACGAACATTTTTTTTTCAACCTAAGTAATAAATAAAAGTGCTCATTAGTGGCACTTTTGGTATATTTCAATTTCATCATATTCAAGCGTATTTAAGCATAGGAAATTTAATAGCTTATAGTCCTGGTTTATTTAAGGCCAGTGTTACGTCCTGTTTGAAAACAACAGTTGTTATGAAATTGTATGGGATTTTTTAATTTTTGTTTTTTTTTGCGACCCTGTGGAAAATTTTTGAACTTTTCGCAAAAAGTCCATTTTTTTCGCAAAAAGTTCTCAAAACCTACTGAAACAATTTTTAAAACAATGGTGTCATTGGAAACACTGGCTGTATTCTATGTGCCTGCATGTTTTGCTAGTCTCTTTTCAGTTTACACCACATTCTACGGCTTTCGAAAGTTTCAGTAGGAGGATTTTTGATTTATTTGATTTTGAATTTGTTCATTTTCTTAAATAATAAATGCATAAATCTGAGATGAACGTTTAAACTAAACAACTAATCATTGGGATCTCCTTCTCAAGCGGCTATTCCCTAAATTCGGAAGAAAAAAGTTATGGCCTCAAATAAGCGCATTTTTTGACATTTTGGTTAATTTTTTTGACCTTCCTCAAAAAGTACCCTGCCAAATCTGAGAATAAGTGTTCAACCGGAAGAAAAAACGTAGTATGCAAATCTTCCCTGCGCAAGCAGCTATGCCCTGCGTTTTGAAAAATTATGGCCTTAGAAAACGTACAATTTTTGAAACTTTGCCCGTTTTTTGGAAACTTCTTTTTGTCTTCAAAAACTAACCCGCTGATGCTGAGGTTGATAATTCATTCAAACCAACGTCGTGCCTAGATTTTTCCTGTGTAATCTGGTTCGCCTTTTTTGTTTTGTAGAAAAACCGATATGGACATCGGAAAAATCCATCTTTTGAAGTTTTTTTACCGTATTTTTAAAGACATTTCATCACTGTTCTCGAAAGCTACTAGCTAAAGCCGATACTAAGGATTCAATCTAAAATTAGGGTGTGGAAATTTTTCTGCATACGAGACTATTCCTACCCATACTTTAGTAGAGAAAATTTTGTGAATTTAGGAAAAGCCAACTTTTTCAATTTTTGATCGTTTTTTGGAATCTTTTTCAATTTTTTTTTGAAAACTACACAGCCAAATCTGAGATAAAGAATTCAGTTGAAAGATTGATCTGTACTTTTTTCTTTAAATATGTAGCTAATCCACTACTTAAGCAGAAAAATCACTAGGGTTTTGTGTTAAGTCCATTTTTGTAACTTCGTTATCAGTACAAAATGTGATCAAATGATTAAAACATGTGAATCTAGCATAAACTGGGCAACTAGTTTTTCTTCCAAGCGTCCTTGGTGCGATTGCGAGGAAGTGGAAATCCTAATCAACCGGTAGGAGATCCAAATCCAGAACATTGAAATAGTTACAGTTTTTCGGTCGAGTTTTTCCTGCATCGCATTGGCAATTTGATAGGAACTGCTGCTGCTTTATTGGTGCCTATTGTTAGTAAAACTAGCAGCGGCCATGAAGCAGATGTGAGAACGTGTTACTCCCAAGTGCTGCAAAAAAGTTTCTCAAGGTGTCTTTTTAACGTTTTCCTTATTTCACTTCGTTTTGCCTGTTTAGAGATCTTTTTTGCATTTTTCTCGCTTGTGTTTGCGAAGCGCAGTTTCGCCTCTGTGTTGTAAATTCAAAACCTGCTCATTTCCTTAAACGGCGGCTTTCTTTGGCATCGTATGAGTAGATGATAGGTTTGCCTCAATAAATATATCAGCCAAATTCATGTTTTTGGCTGCCCTGTGGTTTAATTGTCAATATTGCACTGGCTGAACAACGCCCCGACCACTGAACATAGTCACAAAAAGTCACCTGGTTTCAGTGATATACCATACGAAAGCCATTTCAATTGTGATTTTAACTTGTGGAATTTTCAAGATAAGTTCGCAAATTAGGCTTGAACTTTTACTTTTTCACCTATTTTATGACACCAATTCCCAATGCAGCAATTCAACCTGAGCATGAGTAGAGACAAAAATTATATAATTTATGCTTCAAATAAGTTCAAATTGGCAATGAGCTTCAAATAATTAAGTTTTAATGAACGAAGTGACGACATTTATTGATGTCGTGTTTTTTTCTGCAAAATGTCTTCAAATCTGTTCGCGTTGTTTTAAATTTTGGCAGCTTGACATTCTCATTCTAATTCTTTTCACCAAATGAGAAGTAGGTAAGACCTTCAATAACAAAAGTTGGACTAGAGTCAAAAAGTCAGTGTTGATTATGTGATGACGATGATGTTGTGACTGTGTGTTGCTTTAGTGAGGCGGTGGAGTGGTTTCTCACTGCAATATGTTCCCTTTCTCCCCAGCAGAAGCGACTGTTCCTCCAGTTCATCACTGGAAGTCCCAAGCTACCAGTCGGAGGCAAGTCACAATTGACGTTACAACTTAATCCAGTTAAGAAACACCAGAATCGAGACTTTTACGCTTGCGCTTGGTTTGACTGTACGACCCTTCTAAATAGGGCCTTGCTGCACAATCGAAGCATAGTGTAATACTACGATGCAGCTTTTTCCAACCTAAGTCGCAAATAAAAGTGTTCATTAAATTGTTTGCTTATGCTATCGCTGTATTGCATGTATAAAATTGAGTTTTGATGGCGTGAATTCAATTTCGCTTTGGTAAAAACGAGTTTTGTGAAAATGGATAGGATTTGTTTTTTTGAGAGGCTTTGGAAATTTTTTGCGTTTTTCGTAGAAACCTTAGCTTTTTTCGAAAACTACTTCACCGATTTTTTGTTCAAAAAAATGTACCAATGAAAGGACCGGCTACGCCACTGTGTGCCTGCATATTACGCTAGTCTCTTAAAAAGATTGTTTGTTTTTTTTCTTAAAGTTTGTTCACACTCAATTTTGATTTTTCGCGGTTTGACTTTTGATTTTTTTAAGTTCAGTTTCTATTGTTAAAAGGAAGGCAAACTCCTTAATCGAACAGCAAAAGTGTAAAGGTCACGAAAAACCTGATCGACTTCTAGTTTCGGTTTAACCTTACCCCACTTTCTACGGTTTTAGGAGTTAGTGTTTATTCACGGGATATCCTCAGTCATCAGGATCTCCCCTGCATAAACAGTTGCGTTCTTATGTTTTTCCATTTTTCTTCAGACTTACCCTGAAAAATCTAGGAGTACAGTTTCAATCGAAAAAACGGGTTCTGGGTATTTTTGTGCATAAGCGTCTACGCCATAATTTTTAAAAAACTTTTTGACCGTTTTTCTGAAATTTTTAACTTTTCATAGACTGCTTTCCCCGAAAACTAGCCTCCTAAATGTGAGATTAAGTTTTCAATCGAAAGAAAAGTTTGTGGAGTTTTTTTCCTGCATAAGCGGCTACGCTCCTATTTTTGTAAATGGCTTCAAGAGAAAGCCATTTTGTGGCATGAAATTTTACTCCATGGCGGTCCACTACACCGCACAGGGCATTTCCCCTTCCTTATTTTCAAGTAAGTTATTGGGTTCAACTTTGCTCGCTTTTAAAAGGCTCAAATTTTGCGACTCATATATATTAACCTCAGTTAGAAATGTTTTCACGTTGAACTGAACGTCATTGCCATACTGGCAACTTTCGAAGTTTCACGACAGGTCATATGAGCTCGGCCCAAATTATTTTTTTGACTTTCACTATCCTTTCCGTTAGTCGTCTTTTTGTGTCTGGTGCACTATAAGGTTTTCACAAACTATCCATGATACTTTAATCATTTTTTGTCGCATTCCTATTATCACTCATTCGGTTTTACCTTCCTTTCATTAAAAATATCAAATAGGTATCCACAGATTTTGCTGGGTCACTGGTGTACTTCCAAGCGACCGTGCGATTAGCCAAAGAGCTAGAAAAAATTCTCTCTGATTTTTTTGATTTTGATATTTGAAATAGAAATTTAACTGATATTGACTAATAATGGCAGGTATTTTTTTCAAATAGATGTATACTCTCTTGAATCTGTTTTGAAGCAATAATTTGCACCTTTATTTCCTGTATACAGTTGAAGTAGCAAAATTTGAGGTTCATCTCAGAGTCTGACTGGGTTGTACAAGAATGATACAGTTCAAGTCGCTAGTTTTCAAAAATTGTTCGACTACCCTTTCAACTGTTCATACAAAAATTTTCCGAATACACTGTTTTTCATTTTCAATCATCAAGTTCCGAACGAAATCATGGTATCTTCTGAAAAGTTCTATTTTTGCAGTTCGTTGCATTTCTGAAACTTGAATCAGACTAGTTTCGTTTGAATAATGATATAATAAAAAAAACCATGCTGATTGATTGGGTTTTTGAAACTATTGAAGTAATTGAACAGATGCTAACAATGAAACGCGGGTCGCTTTGTGATAAAAGTATGTAAAAGTGAGATGATTGGAAATCATCTAGTCGCTGACGTGAGAGATACCCAGAGAAAAATAATCTTTTTTTCGACAATGGCAGTATCATCCATGTGCAACACCATGAGTCACTGATATTCGTTTCGAATCAAAATCTGCCCGTTAAATATCTCTTTGTTAGATCAAGTGGTAATCCACGCACACCATAAAGTTCCAATTTCAGAAATAAGTACCTGTGGTTTACTGTATCAAATGTTTTCTTCACATCATTAAAACAACTCGATAGGTTGTTGCCATTCACTTGAGCCTTTAAGTTATTTTGCAGAAGAGTCATCGCATCAGTTATACAGTCACCTTTACGAAAGCGAAATTGAATCTCAGTGCAAAGAAAACCTCTTCAAAAACTCAATTACTATTATATAATAGCCGTTCAAATTTTTCCAAGTGATCTGATCAAGAAATTGGGCTATAAGTATCACAGTTATTGTTCCGACTTTCGATACGAAAGTAACGGAATATTTGTGCTCGGGGTGGGTTTTTTTTTCTTCAGACAAATTTCGACTTATTAACTAGCCATTTTTGACGGTATTTTTTTATATCATTCGAAAGGTATTGTTGTCTTGAGCTTAAATTTGAAAAGATATTTTACCTGTGATAATTTTTCGTAAAGTTACGGGGGTTTAAAGATTGCCTTTTTGGCCAATTTGGGACAATTAACGCGCGATATATTTCGCGCTATTAACGCGTAAGCGGAGAGTTAATCCGTCTTAGAAATCGTTCCAAATTGGTTGAAAGAAGCTTATTTGCCATATTTGATTTGTTACAAGGAGTGAAATCTATCCTTTTGTACTTAATATGGCGTGTGGGGGGATGATTTTCATAAAAAAATTCAAATTTTAGAAAAAAAAAACTCATTTTTTATTTCTTAAATGTTATTACTGCTCCATAAACATTAAAAGGCGGTCGGAACATTCAGGGCTTCGCCCTGATACGAGCAGTCTTGTTAAATTTCCCATCTCTATAAAGTGCTACTACTATTTGCTGAGACTCTTTTGACCCGTGCTTTTAACCGTACTAACTGTGCTTGACTTATTTCTCATGCTCTAGGTATTAGTCCATCAAACATTGACTCTTGGCTGCTTTTGAATAACTACGTTTCGAATTTCGTTCTAAATACTGTTGGGATCTACGTTTTTTTTGCTTTGATGAATGGAAAACATACTTTTCTGCTGCCTGCTTATCCATATATTCTTCAGCACTCCCATTTACTTTTAAGCCTTACAAACTTTTTGAAAGCTCGAAGAAAACTCTTATGCTTAATTGGATAACTGAATTTGAAGAACTGTTTTTATTGTCAGTCGTGTAATTAATATCGGGTCTAGGACAACAAGCCGACGGGACTTCAAGCCGAAGGGACTTCAAGCCGAAATTAAAACTTTACAAGCACCCCAAAACGCTATTTTATCATCTGCAAAATGTTGCTTTTCTAAAATTTTGGCAAGTTTAGTCTATAATAAGCGTTATTCATGACAATGCACCACTTGTGATTCGCATCCGTTAATAATATCACCCGGTTTTTGAAATGCATAAATTATAAACATGAAAAATGCCTTCAACCATGTTTTACTTTTCAACTTTTCGGAACATCATTTGGAAGCTTAATTTATGTGCAAACGCCAATAACTAGTGAAGAAAGATCATGAAATTCAGAAATTCTTCTAAAAAGTTTTCAACTTGTTCATATTTCACGACTTTATAAGGAATTATTCGGCTTGAAGTCCCTAATTTTACAATTCGGCTTGAAGTCCCGTCGGCTTGATGTCCGGCACCCATTAATATCAACTGCCAGTGGAAAGTGTTCGAAAACTTCCCGACCTTGAAATGAAACAAAAATAATTTGCTCATTAATTGATCTGTTGTTGTCGCAGAGTTGGCTGTTTGTTGTTATCATCCATTCTCAAGAGATTAAAGAATATATATTTTTATTCCGACCACTGAAAGTGTGGAGGACATTTGTCCTTGGGTGTTAAATATTGGGTGCCGGACATCAAGCCGACGGGACTTCAAGCCGAATCTTAAAATTAGGGACTTCAAGCCGAATAGTTCCTTATAAATTCGTGAAATATGATTAATTTGAAAACTTTTTTGAAAAATTTCTGAATTTCATGATCTTTCTTCACTAGTTATTGGCGGTTTCATAAAATAAGCCGCCAAATGATGTTTCGGAAAGTTGAAAGTAAAACATGGTTGAAGACATTTTTCATGTTTATAATTTATGCATTTCAAAAACCGGCTGATGGTATTAACGGATGTCATGAACAACTGGAACCTGATCTAAACTACATTTTATGATTGGATAAATTAAATGTTTTACCAATGTAAAGTATTTAATATTAACCAATCATGATCCATCTAACTAACAACCCACTTATTTGTAAGTGCTGAAGTTACTTGTAATTTCAGCACCAGAGAGATTTGAATTTAACTTAGAAATTAGTTGGACTCTCCCGAGCACTTCAGCAGCCGCAATAAACCAGTATACCCTAGATCTATTGAGCCTAGCAGAGACTAGTTAAACAACCTGAGACTAGATAGTATAAGAGTAAGATTAGGATCGGTATTAGACTAAGAAGTTGCACGAATCTATCCGGCCGAAAATAAGATAGCGTGACGAGCAGACGGTGTACCCTATCCGAAATTACTCTATGAGTTACACTTCGGTCCTAACTCATCTGGTGCGACCATAAGTCTCGAACAAGACCTTAATAGATTAGAATTAACCAAAATAGATTAGAAATTAGACAAAAACATTTACAAAAATGTTATACGACAATAATTTAATCGAAATGTCTCTACGACTCAATAGATCAGAGCCAATATTCCGAACCATAACAGAACTACCCGGAATTGGAAGAAGACCTCGAACCAAAGACGACATACGACAAAGTAGAAACTTGCCGTATAGTTATATGATAGTTCGGCAAAAGCCAGAACAAACTTTTATATTTCGAATACTACTTGCAATGAATTTAGATTTCCATTTGCAAAC